TGAGTAGCTGGGATTACAGGCACGCACCACCATGCCCAGCTAATTTTTTGTATTTTTAATAGAGACGGGGTTTCACCATGTTGACCAGGATGGTCTCGATCTCTTGACCTCGTGATCCATCCGCCTCCGCCTCCCAAAGTGCTGGGATTACAGGCTTGAGCCACCGCCCCCGGTCCTTTCCCTGTCTTTCTCAGTTCTCCCTATGTTCCCTCTCCCACTTGTTGCTGAACTCACTCCTACCCCAAGCCCCCATCCTGGACTCATTTCTGCAAAGACTTCTCAACTGATTCCCCAAATCAAGCTGTAATTAAATTATTAGGCTAAGAGCAATTGGTAAAACATCTCATACATTTTTATCCTTGTTGTTTGTGGGCATTTTTGTCCATTTATTGTTTTTTTGAGGCAGCTTCTTACTCTGTCTCACAGACTAAAGGGCAGTGGTACAATCATAGCTCACTGCAACCTTGAACCCCTAGACTCAAGTAGTCTTACAGCCTCAGTCCCCCACCCCTAATCTCTTAGCTAAGACTACAATTGCATGCCATCATGCCTAGGTAATTTTTAAATATTTTGAAGAGGTGGGGTCTCGCTATATGGCTCAAGCTTACACGGTTTCCTGAGAATCTTGAAAATAAACAAACAAAAATCAAGGTCAAGAACAAAAGTAAAAAAAAAAAAAAATTATTTCCAAATCGTTTGAGTATGAAACGTCCTCAGATTAAACCACATAAAGCAGTTATGGTATGATTAACAACAATCTATTATAGACCCATAAACATTCAATGATTTTAATGTATTCTGAAAATTAACTAAAGCATCATTTAAAATGTCTCCATTTTAAACTAAAATGTCAATAGGCATTTAACTGAAAAAATTTTGAAGGCTTGACATACTAAGCTTTTATTCAAAAGTTTACATTTGTTTTATATTTCACAAATGGTTACTTTACATCACATTTTTACTCTCAGATGAGTTTCTGCAGACTTCTTTAAAAAGCAAATGTGTGTGTGTGTGTGTGTGTGTGTGAGTGTGTGTGTGTGTGTTATCTTCAGCCTTGAATACTGATTTTATAGTCTTTGATTCATAGCAAAGGAAGTGTCCCATTTTTCTATACTGACACATGATCATTTGACAATTTTTTTTTTTACTGACCAAGTTCAAGCTAGATATTGCATCTATAAACTGCTCTTAGCCCAATGCTGAGCTTTGTAAGGGTTTTGATAATAATAAACTGTTCTTGACGGAAACACAAGCCTTTCATAATTACATGTCACAGTGCAATTCTTATGCAATGAGCTTGTGGTTTTCCAAATTTAGGACCAAGCATGTAGTTTTATCAGTGAGTTGAGATTTGGTCATGTTTTTCCTGGATTCTATAAATGGTAATTCTAACTTTGAAATGGGTCACCTAACTTATAACTATTTTCTTCATTTCTTTTTAAGAGGGAGAAATAACTTGCAAATTTCCACAATGTTAATAAGAAAGTTTAGCAATTTTCTCTCTGACATGAAATATTTCATTCAGAAGGCCTATGTTTCCTCTCTGTAATAGGTTTCCTAGAGCACGATATGATTAAAAACAAACTCTGAGATGTATATACCTATGTTCTTTCAAGTGTAAAACCTGGGTGATATCTCTGGAAATAGAGCCTGGGAGTGATCAAGAACACAAATACTTATTTGTCCCAGAAATAGAGGGGCCCATACTTTGAAATATTTCAATGGAAACCAAAAATTGTAGTTTGCTAGAGAGAAATTAGTATCCTCTACTTAAGCATTTTTGAAACAAACTCAATGCTGATTCAAATCTGTAATCCATGTAGCTCATTATAACTTACTTGGGAGAAGTATCTCACATTAATGAATGGTACAGTTGTACAAATTAAAAAATTGTACAATTGTACAAATTAAAAAATTATACAATTTTTCAACTATATAATTAATTGTACAATTTGTATCATTGAAAAATATCTATAAATTAATTTATAGATAAATTATCAAAGAGGAAAATATTTTAAATTGTTATTCCCAATTTTTTTCTTACATACGTAATTAAAGTAAAAGTAAGTATCTCAGCAACTGCTCCCTCTTAAAATTCCACTGCTATCTCAGCAGTTACATTAGTTATTCTGGCTATTTAATTCTTCACTTTTGCTTCATACTGTAACAGTTGGTAGGATAATTAATTTTTATTTTACATTTTCAGTGAACTTTTGTTGAAACTGTTTCACTCTTTTTATTAGTATAAAATTATTAGGAAAGGCTTCTAAAAGAGAGGTTTCCTGTTTGTTTTTCCTTTGAAGAAGACAGTGGGATGGGAAAAGAACGATACCAAATATAAAGTCATTCCTCTATCTCTTAGTTTAAAACCTGTTTTAAAGGTTGTAGCTACCAGGCAATTTAGTAGGGAAAACTGAAAAATCAAATACCCTAATAATACTGGTACTCCTAACTAAAGCAGGACGTTGAAACTCTACTACTAGCGTCAGGGTTGGGAAAATCCCCTTTACTCTTATTATCTGTGATATACGGTACAAGGGTTGGCCCTGGTTTGGTCCACCTGCCAGCGGAGTTTAAAGTTTCCGAGGCTTAGAGGAACACAATGACTTGGATCAAACAGCCTAAATGGGAAGAAGGGCATTTTTGCTGCATCAAGGAAGCCGTTCAACTCCTGCTAAGCGAACCAGCTCTTTTTTATGCGTCCATGCACAGGACCGAATTCCTCCTTCACTGACCAGAGATTATTTCTGACAATCCAGGATATCCCGAAAACCTGGAGACATATGGCTGGAAAATGAAACGACCCAGGACATCGTTTCTAGCTGCATTATTATTTTGTGTAGCGTAGTACCAGATGGGCAGTCAGTGAACGGCGCAGGGATGTGAACGGACGGTTTTATAATGTGAAATTTTTCCCCTGGTAAAACTAAAACAGATTTCATTTCCCTCTCTTTTCTTTCAGTACTTGCTTCCCCCCTCCCCCCCACCCTCTGCAATATCAGTGAACTCAACTTTGCAGTGAGGTGACCAAAAAGAAAGAGAATGAGGCGGTCTAGATCATCTTAGTGTCAGAGGAGTTGCGGCAGCCGGGGAACTGCAGCTGCGACCCCCGCGTCCTGTGCGGATTTCAGGGCTGACACCGCGCGCGGGTGGTCATGGAGAGGACGGTGCACCGGAGCCACGGAGGATAGAGACCCTGGCGCCCGGAGAGCTCTGCTGATCTCGCCGCAGCCTTCGAGGCCGTCGCTGCCTCTCCTCTGCTTCGTTTTATTGCCATTATCGCCATTCTCGAAAAGTCATGGAAGACAGCCCGCTGCCAGACCTCAGAGACATCGAGCTGAAGCTGGGGCGCAAAGTACCTGAGAGCCTAGTGCGCTCTCTCCGAGGGGAGGAGCAGGTTCCCAGGGAAAGAGACACGGACACCCGCGGAGGGAGCGGTGGAGGCGGCGGCGGCTGCAGTAGCAGCAGCAGCTGCTGCAGCTTCCCTCCCTCCTTGTCGTCCTCCTCTTCGTCCTCCCCAACCTCTGGCTCCCCACGAGGTAGCCACTCCAGCGCCCTGGAGAAGCTAGAAACCAAGCTACACCTCCTCAGGCAAGAGATGGTGAGTGTGACGCGCGGGGGCCAGGACCTGGGATGGGCCAAAAGATGGAGTGATCTCTCAGGGGTTGGGAGAGAGGACGGCAGGGGCTGCAGAGCGGAGCGCTGAGCGCGTGGGAAATGCTGCGTGGAGGAACGCGCAGGGGGCGCTCATCCGGAGGCAGCTGCTGCAAGGCTTGTTTACCACGGACTTTGCTCGGTCACGATTTGCAAAGACAGCACAGTGGGCTGAGGGCTACACTCTGTGTACTTTCGGAAAGCGCCGAATCACTGCGCTGGGCTCTGCCTTTTTAGCTGCGAGCCCGCAGCCTCTGGAGCACCAGCCCGCTGAGAGTTTGCAGTGACTGCACCCATCTAAGGCCTCCTGTGTGCCGTTAATACTTCGGGTAGGTTCAAAAGGTGGCTCAGTCCAATGCACTTACTGCAAAAATGCTTCCTGGTTTGCCAGGAGGTGGCGTGGCAGGGTCCTTGGGGCCCTCCCTCCTAGCTCACCCTTCCACCAGTACCGCTCCGCCCTCCCTCTCTCCCTTCTTGGTGCAGCAGCGGCAGCTGTTCCAAGGCCAACAGATTCTCCACAGCTGGTTCTGAAAACAATGGCCCACTCGTCCTTGATGTACTTATGAATAGCTTGTTTCACTGTTTTGATCCCTACGAACAGGTGATCCCCAGGCCCAAGGATTTGCTAGGGACCATCTCCTACCCTTCTCCCTCAAGCCTCAATCTGCAGTTGTTTTCCCTGCTGTTTACAAACGTTAGCCTAAGCATAGGACAATGAGACAAGTACGAGGTTAAGAATACTCATTCTGGACGTATTTAGCTTAAGACACTTATTTACTTGTCATGAGCTCTTGGGCATGTCACTTCTGTAGACCTCCGTGTATTTGATGAGCTGGTTAGAGAAAATGATCCCTCCCTAAGTCCTTTGAAGAAAATGATCACAAAGCAACAGCATTTTCTACCAGCTTGGAGATGAGGAAAATTGTAATAGTGGGCCTCAAAAAGAGAGAATAATTTCATTATATTAACTTCACAGTTGCTTTGACTTGCTTCAAAGTAGGCTAGGAGATTTCTAGCACTCAGACAGAAATGCTGGAAATCATTTCCATCATTCTATCATTTATTTATCATAGAGTTCTATCATTTGGTGATTATTATTTTTTAGGCTGGACAATTAAGGAAAACCCTTAGGTACATAATGGAGAAGCTGGAATGTGGAAGGCATCTTGATGAGTTTGAAAAATAGATGGAAAGATAAAATGGGAAAGATGACAAAGCAACAGGTCACAGAGTGCCTGATGCCATATCACAAAGATCACACATACATGTTGAGACAAAACTATTTTTCACAGGAAATCTGTCTTGTACAAGGAATTAAGAAGGTTGCTAACTATGCAAAACTTAATATGAGAGATAAAAGCCTAATATGAGAGAGAAAGACATCAAGGAGATGAGGAAATTTCACTCCTAACCATGTCTTCTGTAAATTTGCCCTTGGAATGTTAATATGCTCACTTTAATAAATAAGTCTTGTTGAAACATATTTTCTTACTCAGTAGCTCACTTACAGCACAGGAAAGGCAATAATGTCATTTTGCTGGAAACTCAGATGCAACTTAAAGTATTCAGTTATAACTTGAAAACAGTAACATTTCCCAAAACCCATGAACCCCACCCTGCCCCAAGGAATGACTGGTATATATGTGAAGATCATTTTCTGACAAAAATAATTACATTCCGTTTAGGATGCATAATCATGCTGTCCTGTAGAGAACAACAAATTCTGTGAGAATTTTTAAACTGATGATGTTTACTTCCATGATAACATAAGAGTATACCTTTTACCTTCCATTGTAATGATGAATCACAATCAGTCTTTTTTATAGGTTGGTGCAAAAGTAATTGCTGTTTTGCCATTACTTTTAATGGCAGCCACAATTACTTTTGCACCAACCTAATTTTTGAAACTGGGATTCATGATGGGAGTCTCTAAGGTCTCTGATAATTTGTCACATTTATTGTTCTTTGGAGAATATTTCCTCACTACTCAAATGATGGTTCTCTGGTTTGGTGGAAGCTTCATAAGCTTTGGAGCTAGATAAGCCAGGGTTTCAGACAAGTCTAGAGCAAGTCAGGATATTAATAAAGCCGAGTAGGATGTCAGGGCTGCCAATCTAGATAGACTTTAGCTTAGCTTCCCTGGCAAAAGGGCTGATCCAGCTCTCTGTGGCCCTCATTTCAGTCTTGGCTTTTTCACTCGCTACTGTGTGGCATTGAGCAAGTTATGTAACCACTGTGAGACACAGCTTTCTTGTTAACATAGGAATAAAACATCTCCTAAGGCATTGTAAGAATTTAGTGAAATAAGAAAAACAACTATTACATAGGCATTTAAAACAGAATGTTGGCAGTAATGAGGATTATGTCAATGACATGGGTTCTGTTGATCTTACAAAACCAGCCCTAGATGGATAATGTGGCTTTGGAACTGATGAAGATCTAGGCATCTTCTCCACCAGACTGACTCTATCATGGCATCTCCCGTGTCATCAGATACTCTCTGTAGAGACTGTGTTTCGAAATTAAAAAAAAGATATGTGTAGGCTTCCCTAGCTTCAGGTCAACTAGAAATCTTTATTCTTATGTTAGATTTAGCTGTTATTAAACATATGCTGTGTGCTAAGCATGCTGCTGATTGAAGTAGCATGTATTAAAGAATTGTAGATACTAATGTCAGGTAGCCCAGGAAATCCGAGGAACTGAAACTAACACAGTAGCCCACTTTATCCATGGGAGATATGTTCCAAGACATCCCATGGATGCTGGAAACTGTGGATAGTACCAAATCCTATATAGACTGTTTATTCCTTTACATATTATATTATATTATATTATACAGCTATTATACAGCTTAATTTATAAATCATTCACAGTAAGAGATTAACAATAATAACTAATAATAAAATAGAACAACAGTATACTGTTATGGGAATATTCTCTCTCTCGCTCTCTCTCAAAATACTATAATATTTTCAGACAGTTGACTGTACTTACCTACAACTATTAAAGCAAAGCCATAGATAAGATGGTACTACTATATTTGGTTACTTTGGTGAGACTTTTCTATGCGTTAGACACTATACTAAACATTTTATATGTATTAACCTGTTGAAGCCTTATAATCTTTTAACTAAATGTAACTGTCACCACAATTTTATAAAGCATTAAGATTTATTGAGCTTAATGCTCAAGATAGTAAGGGGAGGGGCCAGGTTGAGGTTAGAATCTGAGATTTTAACCATGCCTATCCTGTCACTTCTTACACTTTTGAATTCCCCTATGCTCATGTGGACACCCAGGAATAAATGAATATTTCTGCTCTTCTTCCAGAATTTCAAAACATTAAACATGTTAAACTGTATTTTTGTTTACTGTAAGCCTTCCCAGGAAGAACAAGTACTAAACAGTCTCTGGCTTAGTAATGCTCAGGATTTGGATGAACATATTCAAAAGCCATCTGGTTGCCAGCAATCACAATCATATCCTTTCCTTTTGGCCACTGTCACCAAGATCTCCAGTAGTACTTCTTGTCAGTCCACAAGAACTGCCATGAGCAATTAAAGGTTCTCCTGACATGACTAGTTCAAGGCTTAGAGCTCAATAATATTCATGATGTAGGAGTATCAAGAGCTTTCCTTGGCAGTGTTTTAGTTCCCCAAGAGATTCTATTCAGGACAAAATTTAGACCTTAGGTAACTCACTAGAAAGAACTAGAAAGTTAGAATCCTGACACCAACTTGTGTTCATTCAAGCAGTACTTTCGAATTGCTGTTCTTCCAACAGGAGCTCAATTATCCTCCTCTTCTCAAATGATATCAGTTGCACAGCAACTGGATTACCAAGTAGTGACACTTGTTCTCTTACTCTACCCTAAAGGAACAAGTTTCTCTCTCTGTGCTGAGCTTCCTAGAGTTGGAGGAAGGGTGACACAAGCACCTCTGTGGCCACCACTACTGCAACTGTGCAGAGTCAGACCTAAAGCCAGCATAGTACTTGGTCTTGACGACGGCCTTTGGAAACTGTTGCCTGGCCACCACTGATGTTTATTTAGGGTCCAAGGGCTCTTTAATCAGCAGGTGGTGAATCACTCCAGGCTTTGTTATCCCTTCAAGGTGGTGAGTTCCCTTCTGGCCAAGGGTGGGTGTAGAAATGCTGTCTGAGAGCGAGGATCTGGAGTCGGGAACCCTAGGAATTTAGAATCTACTTGGTGCTTTATTTTATTGCAGCTGAGCTGCTACCCTAATTTTGAGACAAAGTCTTTTTTACTCTTCTCTGGTATTTCCTCAAGCAGAAGGAGTTTCCTCTCATGGTCACCATTGCCCTAGGCCCATGGTGAGTGCTGCCTGGCTACCACTGGGGTTTATACTAAGGGCTCTTAGTCAGCTTTTGGTCAATCTTGTCAGGTCTGGTTATCTCCCTTCAGGGCAGTGGGTTCCCTTCTGGCCCAGGGTGTGTCTAGAAATATCTGTTTTCTGGGGGCTAGGGCCTGGCAATGGGGGCTTCAGGACTCTGCTTGGTGTTTTATTTTACTATGGCTGAGCTGGTACCAAGTTACAAGACAAAGTCCTCCTTACCCTCTTTTCAAACAGTAGTGTCTCCACAGAAACTTCGAACTGCTATGTCTGGGGCTGGGGGAGGGGGCGACACAAGCACTCCCTTGGCTGCCCCAGCTGATGTCTCACTAGGTCCTGTACACCGTAAGTTCACCGGCTCTGAGCCCAGCACAGCACCAGAACTTGCTGGGGAAATTTACTCCTTGAAAGACCTAGGCTACCTTTCAAGTTTATTTATGACCTTAGAGCACTTTAGCCTGCAGTGGTAATGCTAGCCAGAACTCCAATTTTAACTACCACCATACAAAATTCCCCTCTTGCTAGGTTCAATCTGAATGCTTCCAATGTGGGAGCTAGCTGAATTCTTCCCTCTATTGCTTTGCACTATAACAGT